TGTCCAAATATTTTTCCAAATTTGTTTAAAACCTTTTGGATATTTGAAAATAATTATAGTAAAGTTTTAAACATATTTTGTAAGTACATTTGAGATTTTGAATATAGGTATAGAAAATCATATCCTTACATTTATTTCTACCTATATTCTACGATAGTTTAGTGTTTCGACTTCATTCTTAAGAACCGAATCTTAATGGATTCTTGTTGTACCTAAATTTTTTAACAAATGTTTAGCACTTATATTGTTTGTTCACATCAAAACACAAGGCTTAGCAAACTAAGGCTAACAATATTCCTCTTTTAAATATTGACAAACAATATACTTCAAAGTGAGTTATGAAGGAGTAAAAATAATAAAGTAAGCAAGTTCCCCCTAAAAATAAGTGTATTGAAAATACTCACTTTGAACTTTTTTTGTGTTTATTAAATGTTTAAGTATAAAGCAAATAATTACACAAGAATGCACTCAAGTCATGTTACATATGCACCACTTTGAAGTATATACATCTTCTCTCCCTTTTGTCAAAATAAAAAAAGGCATTTTGAGAATTTTAAACATGTATAACTTCTTGAAACCCTCCCCTATCAAAATGAATTTTTAGAAAAAATGATAGCTTGGAGATCATCTGTAACGCCCCGAAACCCAGCATAGTTTTTTAATTAATTTATAAAATTAATTAATTATTGAGCCGGTCAATACGAAGATTATTTTCTAATTTTTTTCTTAATTAATGAGGGCTTATCCTACGTTGTAGAGCTCGCTGTTCTGAACCCGATCGGACAAACAGATCGTGAATTGGATTTACAGGGGTTACGGAGCTCTAGGGCATAATGCATGACTCTCTCTCACTCTACCCATTCGATTCCTGCTGCCGTACCGCCGACTGGAGACGCCGACCAGGAAGCCGACACCGTCCATCGCCTCTATCCCTCTCCCTCTACTTTCCGTTCATCCGTTCGCTCATCTCCGCCGACTAGAGCAGCGCCGTGACTCGTCGTTGACTCCGGGGGGCTCAGGCTGACGTTATCCTCTTCTTCCTCCGTCGCGCACAGCTGACCGGCGAAACCAGGGAAATATTTGCAGCCGCGAGTTTCCCCGATTGAAAATGAATTCGTCGTTTTTTAGGTGATTCGTGATTCCTGTACCTATAGTTAGTGTTAATTTGTAGAATTATGACTTCCTTAGCTTATAATCTTGCAATTGACTGTAAAATTGGGATTGAAATTGTTGGGGGGATATTGGGGCTATTTTCCGTCACCTCAACCGATGACGCGCCGGCGACGTACAGCAGTAGGTCGGCCGGGTTCCGGATAGAGGCTTGGCAACGGTACAATGGTCCAATTGAGTTCAATTGGAACAAATTGGGTCCAATTGGGTGCAAACGGGTCCAATCAGGTTCAATTGGGATGTTTGGGTTTCAATTGGGGGCTATTGGGCAAATTGATGGGTTGTCCGGGTTGCTGTGAATAACCCAATAGGGCTGTTTGGTCGGGCTCCGGGCTCGGCCAGCCGGGTCGGCTACCGGAAAGGGTGCCAGGGTTGGTCCGACGACGATGGGGACTGCTCCGGCAGGGGCAGCGGACCAGAGGATCGATTCCTTGCGCTCGATTCTGCTCAGGTAAGTTGGGTTACCATAATTTGGTTTGTTTGATTATGCATGACAGTAATCGTGGGTCTTCGGCCCGGATAGGGCGCTACCTGATTTGTTGTGAATTTGTGAACCGAGATTTAAATTAAATTAATCTCATTGGTGAATAATATGGATTATGAATAATATACGAGAAATATGCCACATAGTATAATTAGGCGTACCTGGATTGGATTGACTGATTGGATCACCAATAGGATATGGTTAGGAAATTGGCCATTGCGGGGCATCGTTGCACCCCTGGTGGTCTTGGGTTAAAAACGTACGTACGGAAGTCCGCGACCTGTCCTAGCATCGTAGGGACACGGGCTTCAACCGGCCAAAGTGAATCTCCTTTGGGTTTCTGAGCTGGCCCTTTTATAGTATCGCTTGAGGTGCCATGACTCAAAGTTAGATGATCTGAGATAAAATAATGATAAGCTAATCAAGGAGAAAATGCTAGCATAATTATGCTCATTCAAGTTGTTTTTCCGTGATCACATGATGTTGTTAAATTATCTACTAATGTAATGCTATTCTGTGAGTTAATGCTAGCTTAGGTATACTTTCACTCAGCGTTTAGCTGAGCATGTTGTTGTTGTTGTTTGACTGCACGCAAGTAGAAACACAGGTTCGGATGGGCAACCAGGGCAGTGAAGTGGTGATGTGGCGTAGATGGCTCCCGTTTTACTTTAAATAATTGAACTACTTTATTTTATTTGATTAAACGGACTATTGGACATTATTATGGTTTCCTTATGCTTCCGCGACGTTTGGATTCATTTTACCACTCCGATGAACTTTGGTTTGGCTTTAAACTCTTATGGATGAATTTTACAATTTATTTAATTGTTTAATTTAAAAAAAATTATGCATGCGAATACCAACTTAGTAACAACCCGTTTCGCTAACCGCTGGTTCGGATTACGCGAGTTGGGTGTTACATTTTGGTATCAGAGGTTATGGTTTTAAAAAAAGGGGGGTATAGTTAAATGTATAGTTTTCATATATATATATATATATATATATATATATATATATATATATATATATATATATATATATATATATATATATATATATATATGGGATTGACTCCGGTGAGATGACACCTTACGGTGAGATGACATGCTTCGGTCAGATGACGCAAAGCTCACCAATGACCAATGTAAAGCTCACCTGGAAATAAAGCAAAGCTCACCACTTTGAACACCAAAACTCATTTTTTTTTATTTTTGAAAATTTAAAAAATAATTAAAAATAAAATAGCAACACCGGTCAACCACCGGTCAGCAGCGGCGGCACGGCGGCGGTCGAAAGCCAGCAGTGGTGGTCGGAGGCCAGCGGCGGCGGGGTTGACGACGGAGGTCGGCGGCGGCCGGCGGCCGGTGATGGCAGCGGTCAATGGTCAAAGTCTAGTCAGCACCCCTTCCTTTGATTTTTTTTCCAAAAAAATCAAAGTGTTGAAAAAATATGGTGAGATTTGTCCAACATTTTGGTGAGCTTTACATTGGTCATTGGTGAGCTTTGCAGTGTAATGTGGTGAGCTTTGCGTCATCTGACTAAAGCATGTCATCTCACCGTAAGGTGTCATTTCACTGGAGTCAATCCCATGGGATATAATAATTCAGGTAATTTTGAGTATGAAATTCTTTTAAAGGGGAAGAAATGTAATGCCCCAAACCCGTCTTAATATTTTAATTAATTTATAAAATTAATTAATTATAACGAATATTATTTTCTAAATTTTCTATCTGGGTCCAAGATAATTGGGATTGGAGGGAAAATGTAAATTGGACCTTAAACTTAGGAGTATACGTGGCAAAGCAGAATCGGAACCGATTACCCGAACCGAAATATCCGAAACCGAAACCGGAATGACTCGAAAAATGAAGATCCGATCTATAACCGAAAACCCGAAATGATCCGAATCGAACCGAAACTAAACTAAATAATTCATATTCGATTTAAATCCGAAACCGATTAGATCCGAAACCGATAATATCCAAACCGATTAAACCCGAAACTGATTGGATTCGAACCCGATAATACCCGAAACCGATAAAATCCGAAACCGATTAGATCTGAAACCAATAATATCCGAACCCGATTAGAACTAAAATTGATAAATTCAGAACTATGTTTGCCTTTCAATAAGCATATTATATTTTTAAATTTTTACTTTTATTTTACCATTTGAACTAATTACATTACTTGCTCATTAATTCCTTCATAAAATGGATTATCTTCTTGAAAAAAGTACAAAATTTTATGCCTTAAATTTATTATATGTAGAAATTAAAGATAAGTTATACATATAAATGATAACGCACAAACAAATAAAATTTCCATAATTTTTAAATAGTGAAGTGTGATATTCTTTTTCGGACGAAAGGAATATATGATGAATTTTTTGGAATAACTAGATTTTATCCTAATTTTATCTCATTACAATAAATTTTATTGATTTGAGAGTTAATTTGATTAGTTGGAAACCAATTCACTCAATATTAGTCAATAAAATTAGATGCTAGTGTTAGCATTTTGAAAAGACTCTCTAGCGGCAGCCTTTGCTGTTATCATTTTCAAATTTGATCTATAGCATTACATTTAGGTGTAAAATTAATTATATTTGACTCTATTAAATTTAATTTTCTCTATTTTCAACCAAATATACTCAATAATTTACAAATTTTGCACTCAATTGAATAAAAATTCACTTAATTTCACCCAATTTTACTTAATTTTTACCACATTGTATTCAAATGGAACATAAGACTATTTGAATTTATCTTTTATCCTTTTATTTATGTACATAAGTATATTACATAGTAGTAGATGTGAGAAAAACTTGATATTTCAAAACTAAATTTTAAAATCAATTTAATTATATTAAATTTATATCATAATTAAATATACCCTATATGTTTTCATAATTTGTAGTCCAAATTTGTAAAATATGACTAAAAAGTCAATAAGGGAAGATTATTTAGGGTTGAGATAATATAACTAGAAAAAAATATAAAATAATATGAGGTATTGAATTGATGATATATTGATAAATGTGATAAAACATAAAAAGAAACACAAATAGTTAAATTTTAATTAGAAAATAATATGTATCCAAAATAGATTTGATCCAAAACCGAAATATATCCGAACCAAACTAGACCCGAAACCGAATATATCCGACTCAAACTGTATCCGAACCGAAATTTATCCGAACCGATTTATAACCGAACCGTATCTGAACCGACTCGAATCCGAACCGAAAAATGTATAGAACCGAAATCAAATCCGAACCGAAATTTAACCGATCCGAACCGATTATAACATATAAATATCCGAATCGAAAAAATCCAACCCAAAAACTATCAGGTTATCTGATTGGCCACCTCTACTTACGAGCTCTGGGGCCTAACGCACGACTCTCTCTCACTCTACCCGTTCAATTCCCGCTGCCGTACCGCCGACCAGAGACGCCGACCAGGAAGCCGACGCCGTCCATCGCCGCTGTCTCTCTCCCTCTCGTTGCCGTTCATCTGTCCCGGTAGCTGAAGTAGAGAAACCGCCCGTCAGTCCGTCCGCTCATCTCCGCCGACCAGAGCAGCGCCGTGACTCGCCGTCGACTCAAGGGGGGTTCCGGCCGACGTTATCCTCTTCTTCCTCCGTCGCGCGCAGCTGGCCGGCGAAACCAGGGAAAGATTTGCAGCCGCGAGTTTCCCCGATTGAAGTTGAATTCGTCTTTTTTGAGGTGATTCGTGATTCCTGTACCTATAGTTAGCGTTAATTTGTAGAATTAGGACTTCCTTAGCTTCTAATCTTGCAATTGATTGTGAAATTGGGTTTGATTGGGGGGATGTTGGGGCTGTTTTCCGTCACCTCCACGGGCGACGCGCCGGCGGCGTACGGCGGTAGGCCGGCCGGGTTCCGGGCAGAGGCTTGACAACGGTACAATGGTCCAATTGAGTTCAATTGGAACCAATTGGGTCCAATTGGGTGCAAACGGGTCAAAAAAATTGAATTTTAAAAATCAGGGATAAAGTTTTCAAATTTTTTAAAATTCAATTTTAAAAAGCCACACAACAAGTAGATCTTTATCGTAGATGCGGTTAAGCACTTTAAACTATGAAACCGCTCTCATACCAATTGTTAGTCATTGTGCCCACGCCTTAGAGGGGGAGGTGAATAAGGCGTTTGAAAAACTTTTTGGAGTTAGATAAAAACGGTGTTGGAAAATGCAGAAGTAATAAATAAAACGCAGAAATAGGAAGTAATGACTTGTTGATTTGGAAGGTCCTTTAAAGGACTTTTATAAACTTGAATGGGAGTTACAACCAAATCACCAGCCCATTGCTCAACTTCACTCAAAGTTGGCTCCTTGGACAATTGAGAACTAGGATCAGGAAACACATTATAACCCCTATTTGTTTCAGCTTACATGTTCTCAAGACTCTCAGCCATCATTTGTGTTTCACTAGCCTCATCCAATTCAACAACATATAAAAGATTCATTTTGGTTTTCTTAAGTTCTCTCCAGTGACCCACCAACACATTCCAATCTCTATCCCCTCTCAGTGACCTTATCTGAAATTCTTTCCTAGGAGGATGCCATTTAAACCCAATTAACCTAGGCAGTCTAACATTGTATTTTTTATACAATGATTTCACATCACAACAAGGATCTTTGATAAAGTACATATCCAAGTCAATGCCAATTGAACGAGTATACTGGTTGTTTTAATTAATAAAGGAACAAGTGCTTAAGCGGAGTTACACGCCCATTCATTTGCTCCAAGTTAATTTCCGACTCTTAGAAATGGAATGTTGCCTATTGTTCCCCTATGATGACATTTCAATTAATTTTAAACGTCTTTGTTGGTTTTAGGAAAATAGAAAGATCGACAAAACTAGCGTCACCGGTTTTTTTTTGAAAATAAAGAAAGGACTAATACAAGGGAGCTGCTATTCTTGCCTCCTCCATCGTCCCCCCTTTAGTTTGCTTCACTTGCGTCCCCTCCATTTGTATCTTAGAATGACTCAGAGCCGTCTCCGTGTCTGAGAATCTAGTTTCCCTCTTAAGGTAATAACGAGTTTCAGTAAATTGAGTATTAATTTAATTAATACGGAGCACTAATGTTTACTTGTGTACTCTGTATTTCTCTACTTTCCAGTTCTGAGATAGAGTTGATGAAAAATCTAAACACTCAAAGAGCCAAAAAAAATATGGCCTCACTGCTAAATACAGTGAGACATCGAGAAGTTGATTTCTGTTTTGTTTCAGATGTGGCTTCACTCATTAGGCCTACTTGCCTTTGATAGAATAAAGTAACTGTGAGGGTAATTATATGGGGATATTATAAGGTGCAAGTTTTATTAATTTTACGAATTATAAGTTTTGGAATAAACTTATACTCTCAATTCATCCAATTTGGGGAGGGGAGGAACTTCAAGAGGCAGGGCCCTTATGCTGGAACTTTATTGTATGTTTTTTTCTTCCATGATATGTTTAGGGTGGAACCCGTGGATGCATTTTCAAATGTGCAATGATTGTTGATGATGTATCTGCTAAATATTATCTTTTTCTTAACGAGCCTAGGGTTTGCTTGTTTTAAAAATCTAATTATCCAATTTTTGTTACAGCAGAGAACGTCGCTTTGTGTAATTATTATACAAGATGACGAGTGAAGGAGTTGAACAAGAGCAAGAAAATTTGTTCCCTGATGGTTTCAATTCCAACTATCTCAAAGTTTACTATGGTAATTTAATTCATAATTTCAAATTGGTTAACATCAACTATGAATTGCCTGTAATTTAATTTAATTTTAGTTTTGAATTGAGTTGAGGGTTTTATGACAAGGATACATAATTTTCATGAATTTTCAGTGTTAATTTATGTTCTATACTTAATTGATGCCATAAGCTTCATGCCACCGACTTCAACATAGCTGGGATTAAGGTGCATGTTGGTAGTGATTGTTTCTGATAAAACAAAGTGTTCTAGACTTTAGACCAATAGTCCTATAAAATTTTCATGGTAAACAGTACAGATTCATTGACATTTCAAGCAACAAACTTCCTGTAAACTAACTTCATTATCTTATAGTGGCCTTAATCGGCCTCCTGTTCTTTTCCTTTCTCATGTGTATGTTTACTTCATTGTTATTTTAATCATTTATTCATCACTAGTTAAATAAATCTGCTCTTTTTTCATTTTATTACCATTTTTAGCCCTTCGTAATATATTTCAGGCTGTTATTGTAGTTTTTGTATTTCAGGAAGGCTTTTTCCATATGCTGATATGTTTAAATGGCTGTCATATGGAAATGGTAAATCTTAGTTGCTTGGACAGCCACAGTCTCATACTCTATTGTGTTCTTTTGTTTAGTGTTTGTTTTATATAATTATTATCTAACTGTTGGTGCTAATGTATTTATCTAGATGGAAAGCATCCTGGATGTGATCAGTCATACTTTGGGCGTAGAGAGTTTTCCTTCACCTTAGATAATAACATATATCTGCGTTTTCAATCATTCAACAATGCCTCTGATTTGGAAAAAGCCATCAAGGAGAAGTGTCCATTCAAAATTGATATTGGAGCCATTTATAATGTGGATGTATTATTTCTCTACTTGCTTCTCCCTTTAATAGGGGTTTCCACCCTTCTATTCATGGACTTATCTCTTTGTTACAAAAAGTGGAGTTCTTAAGTATGCCTTTTTTTCCTGAAATTATATATCCTTCTTAATACATCTTTGATACCCCTTTCTTGCAGCCTGCAAAAAGGCATGCCTATGCACAAGGCGATAACAATTTCACGCCAACTGAGAAAGAGCTGGTCTTTGATATTGTAAGCTCTTGACCTATGTGAATAAAATCGTACTTATCTTCGCCTAACATCCTTATCGGTACTGCAGGATATATCAGACTATGATGATGTTAGGTATTGCTGCAAGGAAGCTAATGTTTGCTCTAAATGCTGGCCACTGATGACAGTTGCTATTAAAGTCATTGACACTTCACTTAGAGGTATGCATATATTGTGACCTGAGGTAGCTGTATCTTACTGCAATGTTGTTTGAATGGGAGATATTAATACTCCGTACTTTACTGTGTGAGTGTCTTCATTTATGGTGTGTTTGTTTAAGGAGAAGTGGGAAGGTAGTGAGGGGGAGGAAGAAAAATGGTAAGGAATAGAAAATTTACATTGTTTGGTTCAAAGGAAGGTGAGAATGAAATGAGTAGTGGGATGGGATTGGGAAGAGTACAAAAAAATCCACCCACTCCCCCAAACTTGTGTAGTAAAAATTGAAATGGAGGGGAAATTTTATTTTTAACTCTTCATTCTTTTCCACCCTTTTTGTTCAAACATTCTTTCCCACCTTTTTCTTCCTTAATTTCATTCCAACCAAACAAGAGAATTTAACTTCTCTTCAATTCTCTCTCTTCTACTTCTTTCCAACCAAACAAATAAGTGGAAGTTGAATTTCCACTCCATTTCTTTTCTCTCCACTTTTTTCTTCCCGGTTTTCTTTCTTTGCCAAACACACTCTTAATTCCTCTTTAGTTAGCCTTATCAGTTTTGAACTTTGTTATTAATTGAATCATCTGAACCATGGTTGAACACATTATAGGGTAAGGTATATCTGCAAACACATTTTGATGTGGATGAATATACCAGTTCACACTTGTTTCTACAATTCTACGCAGAGGATTTTGGATTCAATCACATTCTCTGGGTGTACAGTGGTCGGCGTGGTGTCCATTGTTGGGTTTGTGATGCCAAAGCTAGAAGGTAATATTGTGCAAGTACAATTTCAGTTAGTGTAACTGGATAAACTACAAATTGAGGTTGTAAACTCAACTGATATTTTATCACCAGGTTGAATAATGAACAAAGGGCTGCTATTGCTGATTATTTTCGTGTCTACAAGGTTCTTTGCATTTGTTTTTGATCACAATGTCATAACTAGTCATACTATATGGCTGACACAACTGAACAAAATTCAGGGAAACGAGAATAGCAATCGAAAAGTTTCTTTCATGGGTCCTACACTTCATCCTTTCCTTGTGTAAGAGCCCAATTACTTCTTTCCTGCACTATTTTATACTCCATGTGTCCTGAAATGAGCTTCCACCATTGATTGGGCGCAATCATTAGTAATGGTGAAAGTGTGTGGCTGAGTTACATGAAGAGGAGAGAGAATCTATGTGAACCACACAATTCCTACCTCAAAATAAAAGAGGAACCTTTTTTTTGGGACATACGAAACAAGAAATTTGGAACCTTTTTATAGGACAAAGGATTAGGTGGTGTATATGATTCTACCTTATTTTAAGTATTCATTAATTCTCTTTTAAGTCACATTCATCCTCTGCAGGAGATCATACACAGATGTCTTGAAGGATTTTTTTGAGAACAAATATCTTTTGAGTCAAAATTTGTTCTCAAGCCAGGAAAGTTGTGAGGAGATACTGAAAATGGTTCCCGATGAGCGTATGGATGTTTTAATATATATGTTACTCATTCTGTAGACAGATTTTTGTTGCCTTTTCAATTCTCTCTAAATAAATTGAAGGTGGTTGTTGCAGATATTGTATCTGAGCTCCGATCAAGGTGGCAGGAAAAGGGGCGCGTGAAAGATGATATTAATGTTTACAGATGGGAACAACTAAAACGTATGCTGCAATCTGGTAAACAAAAGGTATATGTTTCACGATAAGTCAATAACACTCCTTAATGCCCTTAATACCACATCAACATCTTGCATCTTCTGAACTATTGTTTTTAAGTGTCCAAACATTTGTACCTTTGTTTTCCCATGTTTTACAGTGATAATCTTAATGCAGCAGCTCCCATATTTTTTGTCTTTGACATTTCAGGCTCACGGTATTCGTAGGTGTGTTGAAGAGATAGTGTTTTCTTTTACGTACCCTAGACTTGATATGGAGGTGTATTTTCTCATCCTTTGACCCTTTGATCTCCTTTTCTACACGCTATTGCCTGATTTTTTGTTTTTTGAGATGTTATTTTCTATTTTCCCAAACAATTAAGTAAGAACTAGTTCCATCTTTTATGTTTATTGAATTTAACTCTAACACGCTAGCAACATCCAGGTTTCCAGAAAAATGAATCATTTATTGAAAGCACCATTCTGCGTGCACCCCCAAACAGGTGTTAGTCTTTATTCTTTTATTTCTTTCTTTTGATTTTCCTTGTGGACCATGATGAGATTCTCTGGTCACACATGCAATATCGGAAAGGCAAATGCTTGGATATCTCAAGTGTAAGGATGCATGTTGATTCTTGTTCTTTGTTTTTCTCCAGGCCGTGTCTGCATTCCTATTGACCCAAATGAATGCGATGAATTTGACCCCTCTGCTGTGCCAACTCTTTCACAAGTATGTTTTCGTGTTGGATAATATACCTACTGTCACGTAGTATTTAAGGAAATAGGAAAAGTGTGAAGTTTATATTTTGGGACAGACAAAAAAGGTGTGAAGTTACATATTGAGACAGAGGGAGTATGAGCAATTGAGCATATATACACGCGCGCACACACATGCACAATGGCCGACACGGCAGAAAATAGTGAAGTATTTTGTTGGTAAAATTGAAGGATGCATGTGTTGAATTGAGGTAAAGTATGGATATCAACATGCATCCTTACATTTAGTTAAGTATTTTGTTGTTGGTAAAAAATAGTTATTTAACGCGAAAGTTCAACCCGGGAAAAGAATATTTCCTTACGCATGAAAGTTAGAGCGTGAAAGTTCAACATGGAAAATACGACACGGCAAAAAATAGTAAAGTATTTTGTTGTTGGTAAAAAAGGTGTAAGGATACATGTTAATGTGTAAGTCTGGTATGTTTCCATGCATTTCGATAAAACACTACCAGCTATGAAAATTAGAACAAAAAAGCATTGTATAATAGCCACACATTTGGAGGGGGTGCGCATGGGTTAGGAACCATCAATTTTTTTTGGAGCACCGGAGGAGCTCCAAATGAGCAAGTACTATCCGTTGACACTAGATGCTATTCTCAACGGAACCTTGCTGTACACACACGCGCACACACACTACACACACTCATACGGAGTATATATTAATTTTTGTATTCTGGCATACTCCAACAATTATATTGCTTTTGGCCAACAGATGATACTTGGTTATGTTTTAGCCAATTTCATACGTACTTCGTAGTGTTTTTGTATACTTTGCTTGTAGTGTTTTGATCCAATTTTCCAATAAAAAAACAGTTCAAACTCAATAAATCATTTATAGAAACATGTTCAAATTCCTTTTTAAGTATTTAAAGTTAACCAAACATACCAAAACTATTGATATGAACATTTTCCCCCCATACAATTCTTATTAGTGGCTATATGCTGTTTGTAAAAAAATGCTTCATATCATGTGTGCTTCTTTGCTTTTATTTTGTAATACAAATATGTGATTGCTCAGTTCTTTAAAAATTCCTTTTGGTTCCATTTTTAATACTATGCAGCTTCTTGGAGAACTTAACAGGGGAGGTTCTAGAGCTGAGATGGATAATGGTGTGCCTCTTTATCTAGACTTAAAGTTTGAGCCACTATTCTGCTCCCAATAATTTTAAACTCTCTTAGGACCAGTTTGGTGAGCATAGGAGATATGGGTTCTCATATCTCTCGATATCAGAACCCTTTTGTGGGTGTTTTATATCTCCCGATATCCCCAGTATGTTTATACGGGGATGCATTTATTTTGCTTTTTGTATTCTGGTATACTTGGTCAACAATAGTTGGTTATATTTTGGCCAATTTCATACTTCGTAGTGTTTTTTCCAATCGGGAGATATCAATCTGGGTGTTTGATATTTCCCTCAACTGCTCTGCTGGCAATTGGCAGCAGCAACCCACCTTTGCCGCCACCTGTCTCCTATCACTAACAATCATATCAAATTTCAGATTCCTCCAAACGCTTTTATTTCAGATCTCAAACTCATATAATTTCTTCAAGGTTTCAGAACTCATCATATATATCGTGCCTCATTCACCAAACAGATCCTTAATTGAAGATTAAAAAACTGTTGTTTTCCCGTTTTAAAATATTGAAACGGTCTTACCAACATTTTATACATCCTTTGCTTTCTTGGGGTTGTTTTTTCTGTACTTATTCCAGAATGGGACCGAACGTCGCTCGGGAAATCAATCAGATATTTCAGGCAATCCTTCTTGCAGCCATTGCTAAAATCTTGCAAGGTACATCTTCTCTCCTCTTCTAGCTTAGAGATATACGTGTAGCCGTTCGGTCTCTATCAAAGCCAAACACGTCTTCTCGGAACTAAACCAGTTTTGGATTGTGCAGGACGATATAGAACGTAGTCACAGCACGAAACTTCAAAACGGAAAGAATGTGTTGAGCTGGTAGTTTTAATGTTCCTGAGGTCTATAAAACAGGAAGACAGATCTATCTGCTTTGTAATGTGTATTATATGATTGGGTAATATTTGGGTTGTCTGTAATATGCCCTTTAGATTATTTTTTTCCAGACATGCATAGAAAGTGGGCAAAGTCTACATGTTATAACTGTGAGCTTGCAATTTGCATTTTTTTATTTATTAACAGAACCCTACTTTTTTTGTACTTAGCTGCAAGTATTATATTCTCTTCTCGGATTTTTTTTAAATTTGTTGTCATAAATTTATACTTCCTCTGTCCCATTTTAAATTGCTTATTTACCTTTTTTCTCCGTCCCAAAATAAGTTACCTGTTACTTGTTATCGTAAACTTTTAAGAGTAAAATAACTAAACTACCCCTGAAATAAGTCACTCTTCTCCACCTTATCTTCTCATTCATCGTCACCCCTCCTAAAAAGTAATGACAATTTTGGGTCAACTCTATTTTCTCTTTCTTAAATATGCCCAAAAGTCAGAACATATGATTTAAAACGGGACGGAGGGAGTAATATGACAATGCAATTGGAGCATTTAGGTTGTTTCATTCGTAAGATTGATGAATCGTATTTTCTCACCCCGTCCTGAATTGGCATCGCTGAGGAAGGGGGGAGTACAAATCATCGATATCAATTTTATGATTTTTCTTGTATTATGACTACAAAAACTATTGTCAAATAAACCTAGATTGTTGAAAGTTTGTAAAAAAAGTTATTGTAAATGATCAAAAATATGTCATCAAGAGCATAGCAACATCACCTCGGTTCAAGTGACATTGAATTTCAATGTCATAGAATGACCGGGATATGTACGGTGCTCCGTTCGAAATATTGATGATTTCTACTTCAAACATCCCTGGTAAACTCCCCAACACTGGCCCAACCCAAACCGACCACCCCACCCCCTCCAATTACCCGGGGTGTTTGGAGGCTCATGTCATACAATGACATGAGACACTAATGTCACCTGCACTTACCCCTAGCAACATTGTGCCATTAAAGAAGAAATCATTTTCTGGACATTTTTACTATGCTTGGTTCAAGAAATCTAAAAGCAAAATGTGATATGGAAAAAATCTTCTTTGGTTAGAGAGGAATTAGTTTCATTCCATTTTTTTCTTTTCCTTTCTTTTTGAAATTCATGATCCAAACATAAATTATTTTATCAATACTCCCTGTCTCAATTTAAGTTGTCTAATTTTGGAATATTTATATCGTTAACCTTTAGCCACTTTTTAAAATTAAGTTTTGCTACTCATTTGATAAAATGACACTTCTATTATTATCTCACCTCTTATTTTGCATGACTTTTAATTATATATTAAATATAATTTGTTTTTTTTTTAAATTTCATATCAATTACGGAGTATGAAATAAATTGAAACAACGTAAACATTAATGAACAACTTAAAAATGTTAACAGATGAAGTATTTTTTAAAATTTAAAGTGATGTTAAATTATTTAAAAAAATTGAAGATGGAGGGGGTCGATAAACACATTTTGTTTCTGTTTCATGCGAGTTGAGAATCTATTGGAAACAGGTTCTCCACGTTTGAGTAGGAGTAAAATTTGTGTAGATATACTTTCTTCAAATCTTATTCATTTCCAGAATGGGTGTTATATCTTATCATGAACGAACAACTCTAATAATCCTTTTGATATAGTGTACTCTGTTGTGATATTATTGCTCAATTGAGAATGATGTCACCCAAGCATGGGAACACACCCACTGATCCAAATGTTTGACAAGTGCTTGGTTGGGTTTAGACCCCAATGAAGGTTGGAGATGCTCCATGCATCTCGAATTAATCTTATCACTTTTCTTTCCAGTCTATTTAAAAAAATCTTTATTGAAGTCTCGAGATACTCCATCCGTTTCGAATTAATGTTTATTTTTCTTTTCAATTTGTTTAAAAAAATATTTTGTTGAAGGATTCTGTGTAAAATATACATAAGACTTACATGCATAAGTTTGAGCTTTTGGTTGAGCTGGTTCCTTGATACAGTATTAGAGCTTTGTTAACCAAGAAGTGATGAGTTCAAAACACACTGTCATCCAATTTAAAAAGTATTGTCGATGTGCAAAGGTTGAGAAAAAACAGACTACCCTTGCACGTGAGGAGGCCGGTTGAAGTATAAATATATCTTGGGCTTAGCTACAACCACAAGTTTGAACATTAAGTTGAGTGCTTTTTCTTTTCACCTGATCTGAATGATTTTGATTTGATTGGAATTAGTTTCGATCTTATTTGATCTGGTTTGATCTTATCTAAAATTTGTTATATTTAAAGTTGTTTCTGATCTGATCTGGACTGCTTAGTTCCCTGACAACCTTATTAACAAATTTGAACACTTTTCTTAATCTCATTGAGTCAATCTGAGACCTATAAAAAATAGAGTCAAACTGAGACAATAAATTTGAGTCGGAAAAAGTAAATGTTATCAATCTCTAACAATTTCTTTTAAACATCAGTACCCGACTACCTCTCTCACTCTCATCGCATACTCCCTCTGTCCCAATTTTTTTCTCTCATCAGTACCCGACTACCTCTCTCACTCTCATTCGTGTCACCAGAATTTTTAACGTGGTTTTTTAATATGTAATTTTTATTTTTTATCAATATAACAATTTGTGAATAAAATGATTTCAAAAAATGAAAAAATTTACCTCGAAAATCCGAATTTGTAATCAAATTTGGTATGGAGGGAGTATGGTATATACCGAGTATCTACATAATTACGGAGTAAAAAAGAAAGTAGCGTACCGATCTGAACCGACCCAAGAATTTGGAGGTCCAGCCCTACCTAAAATATTTTGCCTTATAAAACTAAAAAAACATAAATAAGACTAAAATCTATCAAATATACCTAAATAAGAGTCCAAAATATAAATTCCTCAAATAGGACTTAATTTGCACCACCATCCCTAAAATACCCTCCCTCTAATCTGCGCCGCATCCTCATTAATAGAATCGCTCTAGATCTACGCGTCCTCATTAATCGCCTAAAGCTTCTGTTCGCCAATTCTGGGTAATAGCAGAGGGAGATTTACCATAAAAACACACATAAAGATCGAAGGCGAATAAGATTATGGTCGGATAGAGCACCAACACAAGAAGATTGTAAGGAAAATGGAAGACAATAATTTTGAAGACAAGAGGACGAAGACATTGACAGAATCGAAGAAGAAAAAGGTATGTGTTGTTGACTCGAAATGCACAAAAATACATTACAAATGCTTCAATTTCTGGGTTTAATTTGAATAAGATTTGTCATAAGAAGAAAATTTTGAGTAGGATTTCACATGCATATGAAAACCAAAGCTGTTTTTTGTATTTTAGATGAAGTTGTTAACCCTAGACACATATTTGTTAACTATACAATGTGACATTGTGAAAGTGGTTTTGGTAATGCATACGGTAATAAATTATAGCGGTCATGTGGTTAGAGCTCTTGTGGTCAACTGGTCATGTGCATTAAATTACAAAGAAAATTTGTGTTTCAAAATCAAGTCCTTGATTGTAGTGTTATATGGTCTAAGTACTTGTCTTGTGGACATGTGGGATTCATTCTGTGAAAATTTGTGTTTTTAGCTTTGAATATTGTATCATATGGTCTAAGTACTTGTCTTGTGGACATGTGGTATGTAATGTACAGGTCCGAATAAAGTTTGTTCATAGGGATGTGAGACTAAATAGTTATTGTACTGTGAACGATACGATTTGTAGAGTTAAAAGTGTGTTAGATGCGGAAGAAATGAAATTATTTCAAAAATCGGCATTTGGTAGTCTTTTGGATGTGGGGGATGTTCCGTGGATTACTTGTGGGCTATTTGTGTGTCTACTAGAGACCTATAAACAACCAAAGAGGGGAACAGTTGGAAGTAAAGATATGGTGTTTAAAATAAAAAGGAAGAAAGTGAAATTCACTAAAATGCAGTTTCAGATCATTACTGGGCTAAAATGGGAGGAAAAAAAGATAGACACAAAATCAAATAAGTTGGGTGAATTTGGGTTGAGGTATTTCAATAATAAGAAGTCCATTCAACGTTCTCATGTGACAAGAGCATTACTTCAATTTGAAAGAAATGGTGAAGATGTAGAAAAGGTGGATGGAGTTAAATTAGCATTGTTACATGTTTTAGGCAATATCATGTTGAGACATCAACCATCAGTTACATTACATGTTGGGTATATTGAGCTTTTAGACGATTTAGATGCATTTAATGAATATTCATGGGAAGATGTTTGGGAGGACTTATTAAACCATGCTTGGAGGTGTTCACAGAACATAAAACTATGTGATATAGGCAGAATGACATTTGGGGGCTATGTGTTTGCCCTACAAATATGGGCTTTCGAGAAATTTCCGGCTCTGAGTGATAGTACATTGTATGGCATTGTAAAAGGAAGGGAAAGTTGTATCCCTCGTTGTCTGATGAGGGAGGTGTATACAGAAATACAGACTCAATATCTAAATGATGCCATCTTTAAAAATCATGAGGTTAGTTACATTTTTAAAATTAATAGTGTTGTTTTTTTAAATACTAATTTTGTGGCTACTCATAATATTCTTTTTTTTTTCACATTTTGAGATGATTACAATCATTGTGGCGGAGAAGGGGATTCAGGATCTAAAACTACAGTTCATTTCACATCCGGATGCAAGTGGAAAACTAGGGGTGAGGACTTGTTCAGAAAATCAAAGACCAGTTCCTATACAGCACCAAAAAGTGATAGTGATCAAATTGTAGATGTCATGGGAACCTTAGATCAACAGTCATCTCTAGTAAGAAAGTTGTCATTTAAAAGCAAAAAGCAGAAGAATGGAGTGGCACCTAAAAAAAATGAAAAAACCAGAGTGATGAAGATGAGGAAATTGCTCAAATTGAAGGGTTCAATTCGAGGGAGAAGAAGCCTTCGTAGAGATGAAAAAGAAAAGTATACAGCCATTGAGAATGAAATAAGGGAAGTTAAGAAGTTGCAAGTAGAACATGGTCAGATGCTTTAGAAGATTCTGGATAAGTTGGATAGACATGTGGATGATGGTACATGAGCTAGATTTGAGAAGCGTGATGATCATGTAGAGGACACACAAATTAGGTTATCAGAAGGGTTGGAAGAATTCGGAGATATGAGTGAAAATGGAGATGAAGCAAAGTTGGAAACAAATATGGAAAAAAGGAGTACAAATGGAGAAGGGAATGACAAAAACATTGAACTTAATATGAGTGAAAGTGAAGTTGTTGAAAAAGAGAGCATGTGTGTGACTGGGTATAAATTTGAATTGGCTGAGACACAGTATGATAAAGTTGTACTGACTGAGTTGGATGTTGTAGAGAAATAATGTGGAATCCAAACACAATGAGAAAGAGGTATGTGTACTTTAACTTTATATTATTTTTTAGAAATGTGATAATATCTTAAATTTTTTAGAAATTGATTTCTATCAAATATAAGATTTACAAGATCATTTCGTATGTCAAAACATAATAATAAAGAGTATCCACTCTTAGGTATATAGAGAAAATATAATAATAAACCCAAAAACATAAAAAAATTATTTTTTATTATTTTATAAAAGATAGATTTAATTTAAAAAGGATAGAGTAAATTTTAAATAAAAAATAAAATTGTAATCAGTATAGTGAAAGTAAGACACTAGAGTGTGAACTGAAAGAGAAGGTGAGTGGCTGTTGATTTGAAGCGAGTGCTAGTGGAATGCTACAAAGAGCCTTTAATTCAAAGCGATTTGAAGCGAGTGGTGCTGATTTGAAAAGTAATAGAAATAAAATTTCTAAAAAATTAAGATATTATCAAATTTCTAAAAAAAGTGTAAAGTCAAAGTACATATACCTCTTTCTCATTGAGTTTGGATTCCACGGTATTTCTCTCTATAACATCCAACTCAGCCAGTACAACTTCATCATACTGTGTCTCAACCAATTCAAATTTATACCCAGCCACACACATGCTCTCTTTTTCAACAACTTCATCTTCTCTCATATTAAGTTCAATGTTTTTGTCATTCTCTTCTACATTTGTACTCCTTTTTCCATGTTTGTTTCGAACTTTGCTTTATCTCCATTTTCACTCATATCTCCGGATTCTTCCACGCCTTTTGATAACCCAAGTTGTGTGCCCTCCACATGATCATCACACTTCTCAAATCCAGCTTGTGCATCATCGTTCATATGTCTATCCAACTTATAGAGAATCTTCTGAAGCATTTGACCATGTTCCACTTGCAACTTCTTAACTTCCCTTATTTCATTCTCAATGGTTGTATATTTTTCTTTTTTATCTCTACGAAAGCTCCTTGTCCCTCGAATTGAACCCTTTAATTTGAGCCATTTCCTAATCTTCATCACTCTGATCTTTTTCATTTTATTAGGTGTCACTCCTTTCTTTAGCTTTTTACTTTTAAATGACAACTTTCTTGCTGCAGATGGCTGTTGATCTGAGGCTCCCATGTCATGTACACTTTGACCACTGTCGCGTTTCGATGTTGTACATGAATTGGTCTTTGATTTTTTAGAACCAGTCCTCACTGCTAGTTTTCCACTTGCATCCGGATGTGAAATGAACTCTAGCTTTAGATCCTGAATCTCCTTCTCTGTTGGAATGATTGTAATCATCTCAAAGTGTAAAAAAGAATTTTATGAGTAGCCACAGGATTAGTATTCAAAAAAATAACACTGTTAATTTTAAAAATATATGTAACTAACCTCAAAATTTTTAAACATGGCCTCATTAAGATATTGAGTCCGTATTTTTGTATACACCTCCCACATCAGAGAACGAGGGATACAGCTTTCCCTTTCTTTTACAATTCCACATAGTGTACCATCACTCAGAGCCGGAAATGTATCGAAAGTTTATATTTGTAGGGCAAACACATAGCCCCCAAACGTCATTCTTCCTCTATCACGTAGTTTTATGTTCTGTGAACACCTCCCAGCATGGTTTAATAAATCCTCCCAGACATCTTCTCCCCATGAATATTCATTAAATGCATCTAAATCATCTAAAAGCTCAACATGCTTAACAGGTTATGTAACTGATGGCTGGTGTCCCAAAAGAATATTGCCTAGAATATTTTTCAATGCTAATTTAACTCCATCGTCCTTTTTCACACCTTCACCATTTCTATCAAATTGAAGTAATGCTCTTGTCACATCAGAACGCTGAATGGACTTCTTATTATTGAAAGACTTCAACCCAAATTCAACCAACTTATTTGATTTTGTGTCTATCTTTTTCCCTCCCATTTTAAGCCGAGTAATGATCTGAAACTGCATTTTAGTGAACTCCACTTTTTCCCTTGTATTGTAAATAACCATTTCTTCACTTCCAACTGTTCCCCTCTTTGGTTGTTTATAAGTCTCAAGAAACCCCACAAATAGCCCAAAAGTCATCCACAGAACATCCCCCACATCCAAAATACTACCAAATGTTGATTTTGAAATAATTACAATTCTTCCTCATTTAACACACTTTTAACTCTACAAATCATATTGTTCACAGTAGAATAACTGTTTACTCTCCCATCCCTATGAACAACTTCATTTGGACGTGTACATTACATACCACATGTCCACGAAACAAGTACTTAGACCATATGATACAACATTCAAAGCTGGAAACACAAATTTTCACATAATGAATCCTACATGTCCACACGACAAGTACTTGGACCATATAACAATACAATCAAGGACTTGATTTTGAAACACAAACTTTCTTTGTAATTTAATGCACATGACCACTTGACCACAAGAGCTCTAACCACATGACCACTATAATTTTTTATCGTATGCAGTACTAGAACCACTTTCACAATCTCACAATATGATTGTATAGTTAACAAATATGTGTTCAGGGTTAACAACTTCATCGAAAATACAAAATACAGCTTTGATTTCCAAATGCATGTGAAATCCTACTCAAAATTTTCTTCTTATGACAAATCTTATTCAAATTAAACCCATAATTGAAGCATTTGTAATGTTTTTTTGTGCATTTCGAGTCAACAGCACATACCTTTTTCTTCTTCGATTCCGTCAATGTCTTTAGCCTTTTGTCTTCATAATCATCATCCGCCATTTTCTGTACAGTCTTCTTCTATTGGTGTCTATCCGACCATAATTTTATTTGCCTTTGATTTTTGTGTGTGTTTTTACCGTAAATCTCCCTTCGCTATTACCTAGAATTGGCGCACAGAAGCTTTAGCGCGATTACTGAGCACGCGCAGATCTAGAGCGGTTTTGATTAATGAAGACGCGGCACAAATTAGAGGGAGGGTGTTTTGGGAATGGCGATGCAAATTAAGTCCTATTTGGGGAATTTATGTTTTGGACTTTTATTTAGGTATATTTGATATGTTTTAGTCCTATTTAGGTTTTTTTTCCTAAGAGTAAATTCATTAAGAATTATTCTCCTCAACTACCCACAATTATTCGCCGGATAATGAGAAAGCCCCCAAAGTGGCAAGAAATATTTAATCATTCACCACGGAAAAAAAAGTGAGATTTGCAGATCACAAGTAAAAACAACCTAAAAGTCTGTACGACTACAAATTGGAATATTTTCCCTTATGCATGTTACATTCGGGATTAAACAAACGCTTAGCCATCAAAATTTTGTGGTAGAATCCAACCCAAAAATTTCCCACGTTGTTTAGGAATACGGCGCACAATTGTTCCCAAATGACGAGAGGTTGAAAACAACCAAAACCTCTTATTTTAATGAAATGACATCAAGAATCCATATGTGTTGATGTCTGTATTGCAACAATAGTACACACACTCTAAATCTAGCAATGCCCAATCATACAAAATCTAACAGGGAAAGTCACCTTTCAGGTTGAGAAGTGGTGGGTGAACCCTCTTGCAAATGTTTGCTCTTCTCCAGATTTTGTTTGGCCATTTTCTTCTCGGCTTCAATTTGTTGGAGCAAAGTCTGCCTGTGTGACTCCGTCATCATATCCACCATTGCCGTTGCCTCCCTTTCAAGTTGCATTTCCATTATGGCCTCGGCTTCCTTCTCAATTGGCTTGAAATGCTCGTTAATTTGAGTCTCCTGTGGGTGTATGATGAATCATTTTTTTGCTCAATCATGAAATAGAACTCTGACCACTTGACAAATAACATGGAATAAAGGACCAAAAGATTGAGTAAAAGTGTTTTTAAAAAACAGTGATACATTGGTAATGAACAATCTCTCAAGAATTGTGACAACACTAGCCCTCAGTACATTAGCTGGTAGGAAAAGAAAGTGGATTTGGATTTTGGGG